CATCATCCATCCATTCATCTATCCATCCATCATCCATCCATCCATCATCCATCATCCATCCATTCATCTATCCATCCATCATCCATCCATCCATCATCCATCATCCATCCATTCTTCTATCCATCCATCATCCATCCATCCATCCATCACCCATCATCCATCCATTCATCATTCATCATCCACCCATCCATCACCCATCATCCATCCATTCATCTATCCATCCATCATCCATCCATTCATCATTCTTCATCCATCCAACCATCATCTATCCATCTTCCACCTATCCATCATCCACTCCTCCATCTTCCACCCACCCCGCCAGGCAGCGATGTTGCTGGAGGCCCACAGTGTTAAGCCCACTGTGGTGTTTGAGGCTCTCTGAGAGGGATGCAGAGACAGACCTGGCTACTCTCCTGGAGGGACTTACAGCCTCATAAGGAAGCAGGACCAGGTCTCAAGCCAAGGATCTAGGCAGATCCTGTGATGGGCCTGGGCCTGCTCTTCCCTGGCAATGCCTTCCCTGCTCCCTCCTCTGCAGCCTTATCCCTTGAAAGGCACAGGGGCGGTCCATGCTGGGTAAGGGCTCACATTGCTTTTCCTTTTTGGGGTGAACCAGTGTCAGGCCAGCCAAGCTCTATACCTCACCAGCGAGGCCCTGTTGACAGCAAGTGCCACAGCCCACCCTGAGGACCAGAGGCACCAGGTGGCCATCAGGGACCTGCTTGTGGCTGTGGGAAGTGTACTGGATGCGTCCCTGAGCTATAGACCTGGGGAGACCAGCGCCAGACAGGTGGGCGGCCCGGGCCAGACGTGGACCACACAGCCACTGTGTGCCCAGCTCACATCAGCATACTGGGTGGATCTTTCTCCCCATCTCACAAATGAGGAAACTGAGGCAGGGAGCCCAAAGTGCTTCCCAAGGAGCAAAGGTTTCAGACGGCACACCACAGGGCAGCAGAGGAGGCAGTGTGGCGTAGTGGAGAGCACACAGCTCTGGAGCGAGGCAGCCTGAGCCTGATTCCAGTGTCTGTCCCTCACAAGCCTTTTGCCTCAGGAGGTCACAGGACTTCCCTAGGCCTTGTTTCCTCTTCTGTAAATGGAGGCGCCCTGACTCTTCCCAAGTGAGTCCCCAGTTGGGGGATCACATGCACCACAGTAAATCTGCATAAACTCCTGGTTCATTTGACAAGAGCACAGAAAGGCTTTGCGTTCTTACTGAGAGTGAGAACATGTGGGACGTGTGTGTCCCTCAGTCCCCAAGATGGGCACAAGGGTGCAGGGCCCAGGGCAGCCCCGGGACAGGGCCGCAAGGCCCCATCACCTCTGTCCCACAGCCCTCTGTCTCGGGGCCACCTTCCCAGTCCAGGAGGAACTGAGGCTCAGTCCACGCAGGTGTTTGCCCACTCGGTCACACATGCACACAGGGCCACGTGTTCAGACACACTCAACTGCATCCTCACACACTCACACACACACACAAATAACCCTCCCACACACTCACAGACCACATCCCGGCATCAAGACACACACGCTTAGAGGAATCCAAACACACATTCCTTCACAATACCCCAGAGCATGCACCCATGTGCACACACACAGACATCTTTACACACATCTTCTTCCCTGGCAGCAGTCACATGCACACATGCTCACTGACTCTTACCTTTGGTTGTAGTCACACACAAAATCACTGCACACTCAGACACGCTCACTTACACTCACCCCAAAGCCACTCACATTTACCCAGCACACTCACGCATTCACACGCTTACCCTCATGAATACGCTCCATTACTGCATTCACGCGGTCATGGCCACACACATACACACACACACACACACACACACAATCAGCACCCCTGGGCTCTCTGTGCAAGCATCCAGCCCCTCTTGGCCCACACAGCACCCTGTATCACCGATGAAACATGTGACCTGTGGTGGAAAGTGGGCGGGGCGGGGCGGGGCAGCAGAGCTCAGCCCAGGTGCCCCAGGATGGCCGTGCCCCTGGCTCCTCACCACCCGGGAACAAGACCTGGGTGGAGGGTGGCTGTCAGCGGCACACAGAGCCACGTGGTGTGACGGCTCCACACAGGGACCTTGAGCCACATGCTTCCTTGTGAGTCCTGGCTCTTAGCAGCAGGTGACCTCCCTGTCACCTGTTCTGGCTGTGCCTCTGTTTCCCCTTCTGCATGCTGTGAGGATGCAAGGCATTTGCAGAACCCAGGACTTGGAATCTGAGTGTCTCCTCTGTGGTCACCCACAGTGCTGCCTTTCCCCTCCCTGCCCTGTCTACCTCAGCCCCTGCAGGAGGCCCCACACCAGCCTGGTGACCCTAACCAAAGGTGGCCCAGGGTGGTGGCTCAGCGGTGTCCTCCTGCGTCCTTTTCCAGGCAGCCACAGTGGCCCGGCTGCTCGGGGTGGCAGAGTGCGTGCAGACCACCCTCTTGCTGGGCGCATTGCCTGGGGGACTTGCGGCCACTCTGGCCACCCCCTCCATCTCTTTGTACACAAACAGGTAACTGAGAAGTTCGAGTCCTGACCTCATGTCTTCTACACCCACATCCCAAGAGCAGACAGAGCCCGGGAGGCCGGCCCTGGGCTGGGAAGTGCAGGGACCAGACAGGACAGGAAAGGAAGGGCCCAGCGCTCAGGGTCCAGGCCACTGAGTAGGGAGAGATGTCATCCTGCAGCTGTGGGGACAGGGTGGGAGGAACAGGCGTGGCCCACCACTGACCATGTCCTGTGTGTGCCCACATGGATGCACAGTTGCCTGGGGTGTCTCCCCACAGAGTGTGGCTGTCACCGAGCCCTGACCGTAGCCTGGGGAAGGCTTCCTCTCTCTCCTGCCCCACCTGTCCAGCAGGGCCTGTGCTTCGACTCCAGGCACCAAGTGCCCATTCTCGGGTCCTCAGGGCAGCTCTCTTGGGTCCCAGGGTGGTTTCTGGGCCACAGCCAGGATCTGAAACAGGTCTCTAGCTAATCAGGACAAGGTCAAAGGGCAGAAAGGGTGAGGCTGGGGGCCATGGCATCAAAGGTCAAGGCAGGTAGGGAAAATAAACCTAGAGAGATGTCCACGCCCAAGCTCGTTTATTCGTTCATTCACCACAAACCTGTGAGCCGGGTGTGATGGCGCACACCTGTGCCTCAGCACTCGGGAGGCGGTGGCAGGAGGATCACCACCGCAAGTTCAAGGCCATCCTGGGCTACATAGTGAGATGCTGCCTCAAAAAGTAAAATTTGTTGAACACCTCCTAAGTGGCAGACACTGTTCTAGGACAGGACGAGAGCAGCAAACAGAGCTGGCAAACCTCTGCCTTGCCAGGGCCTCCAACCCAGCACAGGGGCCCGCTGCCTTTGACACCGCTTCTGCGGTTCCAAACACACAGAAATGCCCAGAGACCTTAAACCCGTGGCCCGCCCTGCTGGAAAGCCGGGGCTGCTGACCTCCTCCTCTCTCTGTCCCCGCCCTGTGGCCAGGATACTGCCTTGGAGCTGGCGAGGGACCTCCCTGCATGTTGCTGCTGCTAACTCTGCGGCCTTCACTCTGCCCACTGGCCCCCTCTGCTCCCCGGAGCACCCACAGGAGCCGGTGAACATCAGGGTAACACAGCTGAGGCCTCCTTGGGGACAGTAAGGCCCTGCTGTGATCTGCTCACCCACGCTGGTGACTTAGCACCCAGCCCATTTCACAGATGAGGCTTGATAGCTTGCCGAGGCCACAGCGGGATCCACACCCTCAGCCCCAGACAGCCCCCTCTTCCTTCTGCTGCATTGTTTTTGTTTTTTTGGTACCGGGGATCGAACTTGGGACCTTATGCTTGCGAAGCAGGCGGCAGAACCACTGAGCTACATCCCTGGCCCATTCTGCTGCATTTTGGGGAAGAAAGACTTGGCAGGTTTTACATCCCAGCTGTTGCTCAGCCAAGCCACGTCTGCTCTGGGTTCTCCAGGGCCAGCCCTGTGAGGCCACAGTCCGAGGGGCAGAAACACACCCTGAAAACCAGCAGCAGCTAAAGCTGGTGTCCCCCATCCACTCCCTAGTGCCAGGGCTACTCGCCTGCCTCACCTTACAGCGTGGGGACCTAGTCACCTCTAGCCCCTCAGGCCCTCTGCTCTCCATTCCAGACGATGAGCTTCCCAAAAAGCCCCTTTCCGACAGGAGGCGGCTTTGATGTCAGCAGAACTGTGGGCGGTCTGAGTCTGAGCAGCCCCAGGGCAAGGCTCATTCCCATGAAGAACCTGTCAGAGAAGGCCGAGGTAGAATCAGGCACTTGGAAGCAGATGGCCCTCTGGCTTCTTCAGCTTGGTTGGGACCAAAAGTTCCTCAATTATGCAAACAGTGGTTAAAGAGGGGATCATTCAAAATGATCCCTGCCCTGCCTTAAACTTGGGGCTTCACTTACAACCCTGAATGTATGTTCCTTCCCCTATCTTTTGGTGTGGAACAAGAAATCTTCCTCTACATGAATCTGTTGATGGAATTTTCATCACCTTCATTGCATAAATATAGCTTCTAAAATATCCACTTAAGTTTTTAATTTTTTTTTCTTTTGTGGTGCTAGGATTGAACTCACGGCCTCACACATGCTAGGCAAGTGCTTTCCCACTGAGCTACACCCCAGCCCTACATTTTCTTCAAAGTTAACCAGAAACATAAACACACCATGGTGTAATAGGAGGTCAGAGTCTTACAAGATCTTAATGATTTTTTTTCTGGTCATGAACAATTTTCTCACCAACGACATTTTTGTTGGCTGGTTGCTTGGTTGGTACTGAGCACTGAACTCAAGGCCTTCACGCATCGCTATATCCCCAGCTCTTTTTTGAGACAGGATCTCAATAAGTTGCCCAGACTGGTATTGAAGCAAGTTCGAGGCCAGCCTGGGCTACATAATGAGACCCTATCTCAAAAGAGCAAGAAAGAAAAAAAGAAAGAAAGAAACTGAGTTTGGAGTTCTGGCCCCCAGAACTGCGAGATGACAAATCCGTATCTTCTGATGCCACCTGGCTGTCCCTGTGGATGCTCACTGAGGGCGTACGACGTGGTTTCAGTTCCCAAGGCTCGCCCCACCTGGATCTGGACAGCACCCCTTCCTGGCGCACCCTTGACATCCTTGTCTCTATCATAGATCCTATTGCCCCGGCCTGCAGAAGGACACACCTCACCAACCGTGTTGAACTTGACCGGGGCCAAGGTTCTTTGGGTGAATGTGACCACAAGGGCATCAGCTCTGGGGATCCGGCTGCACTGGGGACCTGGCATCCCACTCACGCTCAGCCTGGGCTATGGCTACCACCCCAACGCCACCAACCACGAGGCCCAAACCTGCCTGACACCAGCGGCTGCTCCAGGTACCCGGCTCCCAGGGTTGTGTCAGGAGTTGCTTCCTGGGGTGTGGCCACCTTCCAAAGTGAGGATCTGAGCCAGGCATGGTGGTGTGTGCCTGGAATGCCAGCACTCTGGAGGCTAAGGCAGGAGGATTGCCACAGGTTCAAGGCCAGACTAGGCCACATAGTGAATTCAGCAACTATATAGGAGACCCTGCCTCAAAAAAAAAAAAAAAAGTAAAAGTGAGGATCAGAGGCCATGGGGGGAAAAACAAAGAAAAAATCTGCCATTCAGATGAGCCAGCCACGTGGATCCTGGGCCCGGAAGAGCTGCCCTTCAGGGCAGGCGTCTACTACCTGAGTGTGGCCCCCGAGTCTGGCCTGGAGCCCGCCCCTGTCGAGGACCTCACCGTTAGGGTCACCACCTTCCTGCCCCACTGTGTGTTCTGGGATGAGGTCCAGGAGACTTGGGACGACTCTAGGTGCCAGGTAAGAAGAGGGAACAGAGGCAGGGTGGCTTAGGGTGTATCTGGCTCAGGTAGGGCCCCTCCAGTGCATCTGCTCTGGTGTCTTTGCTGTTTCCTGCTTTTTATGAGACAGGGTCTCACTACATAGTTCAGGCTAGCCTCGAACTTATGGTGACCCTCCTGACTCAGCCTCTCAAATCCTGGGGTTACAGGTGTGCACCACCATGCCCAGCTGGTGCAGTAGCTTGTGTGCACCATGGGACCTTTGCACATGCCAACCCCTGTGCCCAGAGTGCACCCCTCCCTTGCTGTTGCCTGCTTTCTGGAGAAAACTGTCTGACTTGTAACCTCTGGGACACACATACTCCTCCTCCACAGTACCCTGTGGCAAGGTCACCAGACCTCCAGGTACAAGGTCACATAAGTAATGTCCAATTCCCTCGGGGCACTGGAGCCCACGCTTTGCTCATCATGGGCAATAAATGATCATAGAGGAGTGGAGGCTGAGGCAGGAAGGCCTGGCTGGGGAGGCCAGAGGTCCTTTCCAAGGAAGTGAGCTCAGAGCCATGCCCTTTATTCTACACCGGGTGCTGGGTCCTCTACTCTGTCTTGTCAGAGCTGCACAGTGGTCCTCAGAGAGTTGTTATTACCGTTTCACTGAGAAAACAAGCAAAGCCTTGGGCCAGGCAGAGTAGTGCAGGCCTATAATCCTAGCACTCCAGGAGGCTGAGGCAGGAGGATTGCAAGTTTGGGTCCTACGTGAGCAACTTAGCAAGATCCTATCTCTAAATAAAAAACAGAAAAAGGACTGCTCAGTGAGAAGGCACTGGGTTTAGTTCCCAGTACCACCAAAAAACATAAAAAATAAAATAAAAGTTCAGGAGACTCCAGTGCCTCACCCCAAATCCCACAACTGGTGTACGGAGGAGCTGGGACTCGAAGCCAGGCCTGTCGGTGTCCAGGGTGTGAGTGTGGCACTGTGTGGCACTGCTGTCCCTCCATGAGTCCTGCCAAGCCTTGGCTTGATCTTGGCATTGTGAATTGCAACCAAATCCCTGCCTCGGCCTGCTCTGCTCTGCCCCAGGGAGCGGAAAAGTCTCCTACTGTCGATCCCACAGCATTCGTGCCCTTCTCAAGGTCAGCAGCCTCCACAAGGAATGGAGTTTATCACCACAAAGACCTATTTATTCACTAAATAGTCACCATGCCCCAGTGATTAGGATAGAACAGTGAGATAAATCAGTGAATTCTAACTAGGTATGGTGGCCCACACCTGTAATCCCAGCACTGAGGGAGGCTGAGGCGGGAGAATCACAAGTATGACTTAGTAACCAATCAACTTAGTAATGAAGCAAGACCTTGTCTCAAATCTTTTTTAAAAAAGGACCAGGGATATAGCTCAGTGGTTCCACCACCTGCCTCAAAAGCGAAAGGTGCTGAGTTTGATTCCCCAGCACCCGCCCCCCCCCAAAAAAAATTTAAAGGGCTGGGGATGTTGCTCAGTGCAAAGGCCCTGGGTTCAATCCTCCAAATCTCAAAAAAGAAGTTAAATAAACAGTGAGGCTCACCTAGCAGAGGACACAGGAAGCAAGTGACACACACGCGTGTAAGGATAAGAATCCCTGTCCCACAGAGCCCCAGAAGGAAGAGACCCAAGGCACCAGCCTCCTTTGCCCCTCTGTCCTTGTCACCTTGTGGGCCCTGCAGGGAACTGGCGGCACCGGGTAATGCAGTTGGGTTGGATCTTCCCAACCTGCAGAGTGGTCCTGGGCTGTGACTTCGAACTGGCCGAGACCCTTGGGGTGGCTGGGCCCAGCACCCCACACACACCTCGCCACCTCCCGAGCTGTCCCACACCACGGGATTGCAGGCATGTGCCACCACACCCAGCCCCAGGCAGAGCAGACTGATGACGTGATGCCCACAGTGAGAGACGGCTGTGAAGGTGTTTGTTAGAAATCGGGCGCGCTGGAGCAGGCCTATAATCCCAGCACTTGGGAGGCTGAGGCAGGAGGATTTTAAGTTCAAGTCCTACCTAGGCAACTTGATGAGACACTATCTCAAAAATTAAAAAATAAAAAAAGGCTGGGGATATAGTTCAGTGGTAGCATGACCCCAGGTTCAATTCCCAGTACTGAGCGATGAAGATAGATAGGCTGAATTGTAAATTAATTTTTCATTTAAGAAGCCCAGAGGAATCCCGAGGCTGGGGCCCCAGGAATCTCCCAGCCCCACACCCCCACTGCCGTCCCTCAGTGTCCAGGCAACGGTCCCAGGAAGTGAGAAGGTGTTGTTGTGTGTCGTGATCCTGCCACATGCTCCCATACACTTGGGACCACCACTAATACCACATAAATGCTATCTATGTACACTGTTGCTAGACTGCATTGCTTAGGGAATAATAGCAAGGAAAACCTTTATATGTTCAGTGTAAAAACACATACTAAAACAAGGAACGTCTAGTTCTACCTGTTCAGTAAAGGAAAAAAAGAGAATATATTTTCACTCTGAGGTTGGCCGAACGTGCAGATTTGCTGTGCAGAAGGTGGACAGTCGCTGGGCCTCTGTGATGTGGATGGTGCAGTCTCTCTCAGGCTCCGGGGGCTCAGCCCCGAGCCACACGCGGCCTCCCTGGGTTGCAGGTGGGGTTGAGGACCATGCACTCAAGGATGCCCTGCCTCTGCTGCCACCTCACCTTCTTTGGAAGCACCTTCCTGGTGATGCCCAATGTGGTCGGCGTCCGCCAGGCGGCAGAGCTCTTTGCCACCTTCGAGGACAACCCCGTGGTGGTGAGCGCTGTGGGCTGCCTCTGCGTGCTCTATGTGCTGGCGCAGATCTGGGCCAGGAGGAAGGATGTGCAGGACCAGGCCAAGGTGGGGCCGTGGACCTGGGATGGGGGGGAGCAGGGGGTGCAGCGACGCGGCTGGCGAGCTGCTGGTCTGCCATAACCTTGCAGACTGGCCTCTCAGCCTATTTCTCTCAATTTCTGTTTTTCATTGGTACGTGTTTGCAAGACATAATGATTGCTTTCATCATGGGGAGTTAGTGCATGTACATGACACATCTTCATTCTTGAGCCAGGCATGGTGGCTCATGCCTATAATTCCAGCATTTGGGAGCCTGAGGCAGGAGGATCTCCATGAGTTTGAAGCCAGAAAGGGATAAAGAGACCCTGTTTTCAAAAGCAATAATTCTTTTTATGTCCCCTTGCCCTCCCTCTGCTCCCCCTTCCCTCCACCTCTTGGTCCCCTTCTCATTTGAGAAAGATTTATCTTTCTGCTTCCGATTATCTACTTTTATTTTGCTCTTGTAATTTGGGTTCCTCATATAGCAGAAACTCTGGGATATTTAAGCTCATGTGTCTGACTTAACATTGCAGTCTCAAGGTGCATTCTACAAATGACTCAAACCCTCAGCCCCCTTGCAAATGTTCCTTGCATCAGATTAGCAGTATGGCTTTGCTCCTGATCATGTACCGAGGGCTGACCCCCGCCAGGCCCCTTACAGGAGCCCCATGCAGCAGGCACCTGTGTCAGGTGCAATGACCCCTGAGATTCAGAACCCACAGAAGGACTGAACTCCTGGTTCTGGTTTCTCACAGCAAAAGGAAGCAGGTTAAAGGACAGAGGGAAGGTGGGTAGCGCTTCTGGCCATTCTCTCTGAGCTCTGAAGTGTGGAATTTCCCTAGCAGTAACATTCGACAGACCTGGGTACTCATGACTAGCGAGCTCTCCCGAGCATCGGTGAGCCTTGATGCTGGGAGCCATTCACATGGGGGAGACACCCCCTGCCCAAGCTTCTGAGCCTCCAGCCTCCCTCACACTCCTGCCTGAGTGTGAGATGGGTCTGAGAAATGAGATCAGACAACAATGGATGCAACAGATTGCTGGAGACCACACACTCATTCATTTTCCAATATTTGCACTGTGGTGGATGGTAGTGCACCATGGATGATAAGCGCTCAGCAGTGTGAGGGAACAGGAGGTTGCACTGGGGTCAAGCTCTGAACTGCCCCCTCCCTGCCCACCCCAGCAACACCACCCAGGATGGTGGCACAGCACTGACACAGCTGTCCGGACAGTCCCTTCCAAGTGCCCGGCCGCAGGTGGCTCCCAGGAAGTGGGCACTGAGATGGAGTCAGGCGTGCAGCGTTTACTGCTAGGGCTCCCAGGCCCGGGCGAGCACGGGGGTGCCCGAGGCCCAGGTCTTGACCACAGAGACTCGGCCCAGATGGGAGGCCGCCCCTCCACGGAGGGGCCTCCTTTGTCCTTGAAGACAGTCTCCCAGCAGTGGGGCGCCTCCTTCCACAGGAGGGAGCGCAGAGGCCATGGCAGCCTCTGTCACCTCCAGTGAATAGATTTTTTTGGCTAAACATTTTAGTATTTCATTCCTTTTAAATTCCCTAGGGATCTGAGTGTGGTGGCTCACACCTATGATCCCAGCACTCAGGAGGCTGAGGTCGGAGGATCAGTGTGAGTTCAAGGCCAGCCTGGATTATACAGAAAGATCAGCTCTCAAACCCTACACACACACACACACACACACACACACACACACACGAAACAATTTATATAAATAAATAAGTTCCTTTGAAAGCAAATCTGGTCACTGGCATTATAAGACATTTCACAAGAAGAGTGTGTGGTTCAACAGGCCAATCGCAAATATTTTTAGACTACTATCAAGTTCATTTCTAATATAACTGGTAAGGTCATACTTAACACCGAATGTACTTTGAGCTTTTTAACCATTTAGCAGTCCAGTTATTTAAATACATGATAACCAAAAATGGCATATTTTCCCATTAATTGTTAGAAGGTAATGTGAGGGGAAATATGAAACTTGACAATTTTATCAAATGTGTTTAATACAAGAATGAACTGGTTGAAATGGGCGATGCTTTCGAGAGTCAGTGCATACACAAATGTGCTGTCCGAGGGACACTCGGGTCTCCTGTTCAGTGGTCAGAGGCTTGGTGTCGGACAGAACAGCCCTCACTGCCGGAATGGGCATGCTGCACCTGAGTCTCCTCTGCCTTTGCCGGGCGCAAATGCCAGCTCATCCCTGCGGGTGTGACAGGAAGACGCACGCAGCAGGGTTCTAACACCGCCCTCCCTCTAGGTGAAGCTCACAGTGCTGGAGGACAACGATCCCTTTGCCCAGTACCACTACCTGGTAAGGGTCTACACCGGGCAGTGGCGAGGGATGGCCACCTCCTCCAAGGTACCCCAGACCGCGCAGGAGGCCGAGGCAAGAGGGCTGCAAGTTCGAGGCCAATCTGGGCTACAAGGGAGATGGCGTCTCACAAAAGCAAAACCAAACAAAAATCAGTGGCACTGGGAAAACTGCTGTTGCTGCAGCGACTCTGAAGCAAGGATTGGAGTGCAAGTGATTTCCCTGGGACGGACCCCAGGAAGCACCAGGAGCAGAGCGGGGAGCCACACAGGGAAGGAAAGTGGCCAATAAAGGATACATGACCGAGCTGTCACCCTGTGGGCACTGCACCCCAGTGCCCACAGGGGGCTCACAGCAGGGCCCCAAGGCGCCCCAGGTGGCCAGGAGGAAACCAGGGTGTCTACCCTCACGCCCTCCAGTCCATGGCCGGGAGGAGCTGGCTGGGCCTTTCTTTCTCCTCCCCTTCTGGTTGTTGCTCCAACGGCCAAAGCGAGCTGCGGGGGAAAAGGCAGCTGGACGTTGACACAGGGAGTCCCGAGTGGCAAGGCTGAGGGGTGCAGCGAACAGGGGCAGGGTCTGCTGGGATGCTCAGAAAATCAGGCCTGCCCACTGGCACTGCCTGGACAGAAACATACTCATGGGTTGATTCCCAATATTCATACTTGTACAGCTAGGCCAGGCCCTGGGAATATGTATTTCAAAGTAGCAGGCATTCCTCCATCACAGCTCATTGCCCGGAACTCTGAGAGACACTGAAAATAGAATTGTTAGGAGGAAAATTGTTGTTGTCAAATTGTTGGCAGTTTCTGCTCTATAGTCCTTACAAATAAATGCATGATCCTGGCAGTTGGGAGCCTGAGGCAGGAGGACTGCCACAAGTTGGAGGCCAGCCTGAGCTAAGTAAGTCGAAGGCCAGTGTGAACTATATAGCTAGTCCCTATCTTAAAAAAACAAAAAAATCAGTCAATCAGTCTATCAATCAACAATCAGGGAGGAGTTTGAAAAGTTGCCAGCAGGATTTTTATGAGTGTGACTAATCTCAAAGCCATGAATATAGAGGGTGTCACCCAACTCTGCACCACAGAAACCGTAACTGTGCGCAGGTCCCAGGCGGGAGGAAGGGAAGTGGAAAGGGCCGTGTGCACTGGTCTCTGCTGGCTTCTGGCCATCTCCCATGGGCAAGGCCAGCAGGCTCCGTTGCCATGTGGAGGTGGCCACCCTGGTCCTGCACTGCAGGTGACCATCACCCTGTACGGCCGGGATGGAGAGAGCAAGCCGCACCACCTGGAGGGCCCTTTGTCCCCTGGGTTTGAGCGTGGAGGAGTGGACATCTTCCTGCTGTCCACCCTGTTCCCCCTGGGGGAACTGTGGCCCCTCCGGCTGTGGCACGACAACTCGGGAGACTGGCCGTCCTGGTGAGTGCGCAGGAGGCAAAGCCAGGCTGGGGCAGGGCCCTGCTCGGCACACGGAGGGATCCCCATTTCCCAGATAAGGAGGTTAAGGTTGGAGACACCGGGCCTGGTCCACGTGGCCCAGCAGCAGCCGGGAGGGGCAGATGGCACAGCCTTGGTGTCCAGCGTCAGCCCCACCCGTGGCCCTTGGCAGCGTGGACCGAGGCTTGCCCAAGGTCAGCAGCTGCAAATCCAGAGCAAAATCCTCCCCGTGTGTGTGGCCAACACCAGGGCCCCAGATGGGCAGAGCCAGTCTGACGGGCCATCAGCAGCCAGCGGTGGCATCACACCTCTGTCTCATTCACCTCAGGGACTAAACATCAGTACTCAGTGCCGCGGTTGTTGGTTGGTTCCCAGGAAGCAGATGCTGAGATGGACATGGGAAAGTGGGGTGCCTGTTAGGGGCTCCGGGGAGAACATCTGGGTGGGAAGCCGGCAGGATGGACAGAGGGAAGCATTGAGCTGTGATGCAGGCCATGACTGCCCAGCCGCTCCTAATCCCCAAGCTCTGAGCTATCTCAGGTTGGACCAAGATCTGCAGGTCCTGCTGGGTTGCTGCAGTCTCGAACTCAGGAGCCTGGGGCAAGAGGATCATTGAAAGTTCAAGCCCACCTGGGCTACCTAGTGAGTTCAAGGCCAGCCTGAACTACATAGTGAGATCCTGTCTCAAAAACACCAAAAACAGAAACGGGTGAGCTGCTGCTGGGTCTGATCTCATATGACAAGCACAGCAACTTCACATCCTCCCCAGGTTACGTGAGACCCAGAGTCCTGAGCCCTGGGGAGATGGTGGCCTTGTGCTCCAGACAGAATTTGGACAGCATCAGGTCCTGCGACCTGATGCAGCCTGTGCCTGCCTGTCTGCGCACATGCACTTCCGACAGTTGGCTTTGCCCTGGCTGGGGGCCCTGGGCAGAGAAGGGCTCCCTTTCCAGGGGCACCTCCTACATGTTACCTGCCGCTGGCTGCCTGAGCTCCCCACGGGGGCCAATTCTAATCAAGGCATGGAGGACAAGGAAGGGACACGTGGCCTCTTTGCAGGCGCTCCTTTTTGGGGCTCAGGTTTGCAAAGGTGCTACCTCCCTGGGGTCCAGGAAGGCTCACCCTTGTACCTTGCCCTCACACTGTGGGTCCCTTCTCTAGGTTCGTGAGTCAGGTGCTGGTCCATGACCCTGCGACGGGCCAGAAGTGGTATTTCCTCTGCAACTCATGGCTGTCCATCGATGGGGGAGACTGTGTCCTCGACAAGGTGTTTCCCGTGGCTGCAGGGCAGGACAGGAAACAGCTCAGGTACTTCTTCTTTCTTTTTAAGCAAATCCGCTTTACTTTGCTCTTTTTTTGGGGACAGTCTCACTATGTAGTCCAGGCTGGCCTTAAACTCGTGGCAATATTCCTGCCTCAGCCTCCCAAGTGTTGGGCTCACAGGCATGCAACCCCACGCCTGGCTCCTTCCTGTCTCCTGAATTCCTGTCCCTCTCTCCCTGCCACCCACAGCCATCTGTTCTTTATGAAGATGTCCACAGGCTTCCAGGAAGGCCACCTCTGGTACTCCATCTTCAGCAGCTCAGCTTGGAGCCGCTTCACGCGGGTCCAGAGGGTGTCCTGCTGCTTCTCCCTGCTCCTCTGCACCATGCTGACCAGCATCATGTTCTGGGGGGTCCCCAAGGACCCCGCTGAGCAGAAGATGGACTTGGGTAACTCCTGTGGTCATCCTGGTTGGGGGTGTGGCCAGGGGACGTCAGTGCTCCCTGCCTCATGGACAGTTTTATTGGGGGTTGACTGCTGTCACCACGGCTCACCTTCCATGTGGCTGTCCTTCACCTCCAGCCCCTCCAGAGGTCAGGCTGGTGCTGTGTGGCCCAGGCCACTTGTCACACCATTAGCACACACTACTTGGTGTGGCCCAGGTCCCTGGTAAATGAAGACACTTCTAGCAGACATTACGCCAAGGGCTCAGCAGGGACTCTGGGAGCCGTATCCGGTCGTCCCTTTGTGCAGCCACCTGGTAGGAGGGGTAGAAGGAACGGGGCTCATACCTGCATCTCTCCTTGACCCTTCCCTGCCTCTCCCCCAGGTGACATTGAGTTCACGTGGCAGGAAGTGATGATCAGGCTGGAGAGCTCCCTGCTCATGTTCCCCATCAACCTCCTGATCGTCCAGATCTTCCAGCATGCCTGGCCTCGGGGTGCGAAGGCACAGGATGCTGGGACCCCCAGCCCAGCCCCGTCACCACAGCCCCTAGACGATGGCCTTGTGACACCTGAAGCAGTGACCAAGGCAGGTCCTCAAGCTCAGCCCAGGGTGGTGTGGGCTCCCCGCCCCTCTCTCTCTACTGTTTCCCCCCAGTTCCCCAGTCCTGGGGATTAAACCCAGAGCCTTCTCACTGAGCTGTAACACCAGGTCTCCGTATTTCTTATTTTGAGACAGGGTCTTGCTGAATTGCCCAGGCTGGCCTCCAATTTTCGCCTCAGCCTTCCAGAATGCTGGGATTGTAGGCATTCACCCATTATACCCTTTGGTTTCTTTCTTTTGAAGGCTGGGGATCAAACCTCGGCCTCATGCATGCTAAACAAGAGCTACACCACTGAGCTACATCCCCAATCCTTTCTGTGTTTGGGGGTTTTTCTTCCTTCCTTCCTTCTTTTTTTTTGGTACTGGGGATTGAACTCAGGTCCTTGTGCCTGCAGGGCAGGTGGTGGAAGCCCTCAGCTAAATCCCCGGCCCCTTTCTGTCTTTCTTTCTTTCTTTCTTTCTTTCTTTCTTTCTTTCTTTCTTTCTTTCTTTCTTTCTTTCTTTCTTTCTTTCTTTCTTTCTTTCTTTCTTTCTTTCTTTCTTCTCTCTTTTCTTTCTTTGTATCCTTTTCCTTCTTTCTTCCCTTTCCTTCCTTCTTTCCCTCTCTCTCTCTCTCTCTCTCTCTCTCTCTCTCTCTCTCTCTCTCCATCTTGTCCTTTCTTTCTTTGGACAGGATCTCCCTGAATTGCCTAGCCTGGCTTTGAATTTGTGACCCTCCACGTAGCTCAGATTACAGGAGTGTACCACCATACCCAGCTACTCCACGAGCTTTTATTGAGCATTTGCTAGGTGCCCCACTTTGGGGAATATGCCTGGACTGGGGGATCTTAGCAGTGATGGGACAGAGCCTTGGGGAGGTCCAAGTCACATCTCCATGGGCAGAGCTGAGGCTCAAGCGCAGATCCCGAGCCTGGGCTCATCTTGTGACCCCCGGCTGCACCCCTTGCCTGCAGCTCACGTCCTGTCCCCACCTGGGCCTCCTGCAGGACACATGGCGACTCGTCAGCTCGCTGTGCAGAGCCCTGAAGCTGCCGCCCCCGGCCTCGGGCTGGGACTCTCTGAGCTCGATGGACATCAACACGCTGCTGGCCTTGGTGGAGGACGTCATTTGCCCTCAGAACCCAGTGGACCGGGGCTGCCAGGAGGAAGCCAGGGAGAGAGAGGATCCTTTCAGCCTGGCCCTGGAGTCTGCGCCAGTGGAAGGTGCGTGCTGCACAAGAGCAGTGGCTCCTGGGGCAGGTGGAGACGCTCGGGTCATGTCTGCGTCCCTGGCGGGAGGCCTCGTGCTCAGCCTCCCCCGCATCCACAGCCCTCCCTGCCCACACCGAAGGCGCCTGCCATCCTCACAGTGCTGTACCAAGCACAGCTGTTCTCGGGCCTTCTTCCCCTCTCTCTGCCTCAGCCTTCACTCCTGCTTGGGGGTGCAGGACCTCTGGTCAGTGCCCTTTGTCCCCTCTGCCTCCCTCGAGTTTGCCCTGCACCTGGCCATGGAATGGAACGTGGGAAGAGTGTTTAAAGTCTGCCCCAGCCGACCTCCTGCGGTGGGGACCGTGCCTGCATCTCCCATCTCTGTGGCCTCTCCTGTGACCTGGATGGGCCACCTCTGGGCCTTGGTTCCTCTTCCTGCAAAGTGTCAGGGGTTGCAGAATTAAGCCAGAGGCAAGGGGCCAGACACAGCCACAGGGTGATGAGTCAGAGAAAGACACAGAGTGAAAACGTTCTTTTCTCTGTTTTCTGTCAAGTCTTCTAATTAAAAGCTAGGTGTGGTGGTGCGCACCTGTAATCCCACTACTTGGGGAGGCTGAGGCAGGAGGATCACCGTGTGAGTTCAAGGCCAGCCTAAGCTGCACAGCCAGACCCTGTCTCAGAAAAAACCAAAACAAAACCAGTAGCACCACAGGCTGGTGACTAAGCCCTCCACCCTCTGGGGCCATTTTAGGTCCAAAGTGTAGGCTATGCAGATCCAGCTGCCAGCGTTCAGAGCAGCACCGCCACATGGGGCCTCCGGGTGATGGACACACCCTGCAGCTCAGCCTGGTGGGCTGGGCTTAAAGCGCTGCCAGCGGTAGCACTCCAGAGGGTCACCTCACCCTGCCAGGCGCCGTGGCTCCTGCCCCTTTCGCTGCGCGGACTCCCTCCACTGTGACACCCCGCATGACCCTAAGCCTGAAGGCCTTGGGGACCTAGCTCTGTGTAGCCCTAACCAGGGGCCCTTCTGCCCAGAGACTGCGGTCCCTGGGCTTTAGAATAACAAAGAAAGAGCCGGGATTTAGCTCAGGAGTTCCACCGCCTGCCTTGCAAGTGGAAGGTCCCGAGTTCGATCCCTGGTACAAAAAAAAAGGAGGGGGGGGAGGGAGGAAGGAAGGAAGGAAGAAAGAAAGAAAGAAAGAACGAATGAATGAACCAGGGGAATGGGAGGGGTTGAAGAAAAGGAAAACAAGGAAACAAAGCTTATTATACGGGGACAGGTACAAATTCCCAATGATGAATGCCATCATACTGTATACCTAAAATACAGCAATAGACTCAGTTTAAAAAAAAAAAGGGGGGGGGGATTTCAGGCAGACTGTAAAAAGCAACTGTCCTAGACCTCTGGGACAACAGATCTGACAGGACAGTGAGAGGCTCACAGCCTAGGTTCTGGAGCAGAGACTGACCAGACCGCAGCCATGCTGACCCCGAGCTGGGGGCCACTGACCGGTCCCTCCTCTTTACCGAGACTTCAGAGCTGTGGTCAGGAAGAGGGGTGCAGGAGAAGGAGCAAAGACAGAAGCCACCCTGTAGCGGTCCACCTTGACTTTCGGGGAAGATAAAGCAGGAGCAGACAGACGGCCAGAGGCGCACATCACAGTGCAGGTGGTCACCTCGGCCCAGGGGAACATCATTCACACAGAACCTGCACCAGCATTGATTTTAGTGAATTTAGAGGGCCCCGTGAGCCAGCCTCCTCACCCCCAAGGGTCCCACCCCACCGTGCCCAGGCAGCATGGCCCTGCAGGTCCCTGGCCCTGGCATAAACAGTTCATATGGGGAAGTGATGTTAATAGGAAAGTGAGTGCACACAGTGCACACCGACTGAGAGGAGAACAAGGCCGAGAGGAGCAAGGCGCCTGAACGGTGGGGGAAGAAGGGATTGCACAGCAGGCCGTGCAAAGGCCCTGAGGTCCAACGGAATGGTCACCTTATACCATTATTAAGCATGAGGAGTTGGGGTGGGGGAGAGGGTTCAAGACGAGGGTAAAGAGGGAGGTGACAAATGCCCTGGTGGTGCAGCTAGAAAGGCATGGGTCCCACAGGCAGCTGGGTCAGCACCTGCCAGTATGGCACAGTGGAAACAGCTGCTGATGCCAGCAAGCACTGGATCCTCAGGCTGCCAACACAGCCTGACCCACGCCTGCTGTGGGGACTGCCGGTGTCCTTCCTCATAGGTCCCTGTGCCTTCTTCCGGGCACGAAGACACAGCAGCAGCGACGTCTACCAGCCCCCTCTCCCCGCCACCATCGAGAAGATGAAAGCCACCTGGCTGAAGAAGCAGAAGGCGTTTGCCCTCATCACGGAGACCCTGGGTGGGTGCCGCCTGTGCCCACCTCTCAGCACTCGAGACTTCCAGGCACGCACAGCCTTCAGAAGTCCCTCACTGGGGCTGGGCCTCAGTTTCCCTAGATGACAACTTACTCAACTTCTCCCCCCTACTTGAATCACGTGGTGGCCCCTTAAGGCCCTGAGCTCCCTCCTGTGGTTCCACTCACCTCAAGTCCCTCCCCGCCTTCCTAGTCTTTTTGTTTGTTTTGGTTTTATGTTTTGTTGTTTTTTGGTACCGGGGATCAAACTCGGGACCTTGTGCTTGCAAGACAGGCAGCGGAACCACTGAGCTAAATCCCTGGCCCTCTTTTTAATTTTTATTTATTTATTTATTTATTTTTGGTACTGGGGATCGAACTCCAGTTCTTGCGATTGCGCAGCAGGTGGCAAAACCACTGAGCTAAATCCCTGGCCCCCCTCTTTTTTATTTTTAAACCAGGTTACACCATGTAGTTTAGGCTGGCATTGAATTCACTACAGTCTTCCAAATTGTGGCTATCCTCCTGCCTCAGCCTCTTTCGTGTGGGAATAACAGGCATGCGCTACCCTACCCGACCTTCCTCCTAGTCTTTAACTCAGCCCAATCACAGTGGCGTCAGGGAGGCTTCCCCTGGCTGTCTGGCCCAGAGCTTTCAAACCTCAGCACATGTCTCGTCTGGGGTCCCCAGTAGCAGATTGGGGTATATGAAGCTTGTTGGGGAGGGGATCCCAGGAAGGGAACGTTCCCCCAGTGCTCCCTGCATCACACTCTCCTGTCCCCAGCAAGTCAGGTGAGCTCCATGAGGACTGGAATTTGCCATCCACTTCATGACTGTACCCTCAGTAATGCCATGTGGCAGATGCACCACGGGAAAAAAATTGTTTAAAAAACACTAACATAAACTCAGCCTAGTGCTACATGCCTGGAATCCCAGCACTCCGGGAGGCTGAGGCCGGAGGATCCCCAAGTATGAGTCCAGCCTGGGCAACTTAGTGATTGAGCAAAGGAGTGGGCTGGGAATGCAGTCAGTGTAAAGGCCCTGGATCCAAAACCACAAACGCTGGGCAGTCTCTGTTTGGGGTGCTTTCTAAGTACTGTTAACTGATCTCTCATCACAACCTGAAGGCATAGAATTATTATCCAAACTAAACAGATGAGGAGTGAGGCACAGAGGGGCTGAATCACTTGCAAAGGGTACATGGATGGGAAATGGTAGGGCTGGGATTTGAACCCAGACAGTGGCCATCTCCATGGTTACCACGAGGCCAGGCTGGTCCTGAGCCACCATTCCACTTCCTGTCCTGGACTCAGGGCAGGCAGGCTCCCACCTGAAGGGAGCGCTGTGCATCCTCTGCAGTGTACCTGGGCTTCCTATGGATGCTGCTGCTGGTGGCCTACGGGCAGCGGGACCAAGTGCCTACCACTTCAACAGGCACCTCGAGCGAAGCTTCACCAGAGGCTTTTCAGACGTGCTGGGCTTCCAAGAGTTCTTCGAGTGGGCCAACAGCACCCTTGTGAACAACCTGTACAGTCTGCACCGAGGTACTGGGCCCTGTGCTCGCTGCTGTCTGGGAGCAGGTGTGGGTCCTAAGCAAGTCACAGCCACGGGCCCCAGGCTTGGAAGGAGATGCTCAGACCTAAGCAGGAATTGACCACAGCACTGGGCAGGCTCTTGGACCATGAAGCATCCGGCATGGCCACAGTCAAGGACTGAGTGGGGGACCAGCGTGAAGCACAGGAGGAGACACAGGTGGGGCCACAGCAGGAAGGCGCTCAGCAGTTCACATCCGATCTGTGAGGAAGGGAGTTTCTACCTGACAGAGGGACAGATCCGTGGTCATTTGCAGGCGTCGTCTGTAGGAGAATGGGTGCACCTTAAGTGAAAGAAACCAGATGCACAGCTCCATGTCACATAGCTTCTCTCAAACGTGAAACCCAAAGCATACATAATTATAAAAATGAAACCGAGGATGGATAATAGGAAACAGGGAGAAAGATCTTTTACAAATGGGAAGGAGATCCGGAGACGACAGGAGGGGAAGGAGGAGGGGAAGGGGGATAAGAGGAATTCAGATGTTTTAAGTCCGTGTCCTACCCTCGAGGTGAATGCAAGCATAGGTGCTGCGGGTGGGCGCTAATACAACGCAACCTGGAAGGAGAAGGATCGTCCCGAAGCAGGGGGAAGCTGAGCAGGTGTCATGGGGCTGACCAAGGGGCAGGGGCAGTGCTCAGGGAGAGAGCGGGACAGAGGCACAGATGCATGGAGGAGGGGCGCTGGGGGCCGAGTGGGTCCCGGGTGATGCCGTCCATGGCCAGCCACCTCCTGGCGGTCTCCAGTGGGTTCGCTGATGCTCGCTCGGGTCCCAACGCGGGCGAGGAGTTCGGAAAGCGCAGGGCGTCAGGGTGGTCTTGCTTGTTGGACTGGCCCAGCTGATTTTCTCCTGCAGGCTTCCTCACGGATGGGAGCTCCAAGCTGGTTGGCAGCGCCCACATTCGCCAAGTGAGTGTCCGGGAAAGCTCCTTAGCTCCTTCCCTCTCCCCCTGCAGCTTCGGGGCTTCGCTGCACGGATACATGCCGGATGCCCGTGCGCTGTATTCCCTGGAGGAGGAAGACCGGCCGGCCTACAATGGGGAAGGCTGGAACACCTCCGCCCTCAACAGCAGCACTCGCTTTCCCCAGGCCTGGCAGTACCAAGACCAGAGCCAGCGCCAAGGCTCCCCAACATGAGGCAAGCTGGCTCTGCACCCCAGAGGAGGCTACGTGGTCCCTCTGGGGAGAGAGCGCCAGGGCGCGGTGAGGTGAGGCTGGCTGGACTCTCCTGCAGCGGGGTGAAGCCATCTGCTAGGGTCCTCTTCAAAGCAGGGCTGACGGAGCTCCTTCACGTCCCATGGGAGGGGCTGGCAGGTCCAGAATCTTTCCCAGGGCATTTGGGACAAGAAGCCCCAGGTTTGTCCAGATTGCAGGGCAAGGGCCCTCGGCAGGACAGAGGTGCCCCAAGCACCCCTCTTTTCCACAGAGTCCTCCACTATCTCTTTGACCACACCTGGCTGGACACCCTGAGCAGGGCCGTGTTTGTGGAGTTCACTGTCTACAATGCCAGTGTCAACCTGTTCTGAGTCGTCACCCTCACGCTGGAGACCAGTGGCCTGGGTGGGCTCCTCACCCACACCCCGCTGCCCAACAGGGCCAGGGCAAAGAGTCGCGCAGCAAGTGAGGGCTGGGGCTGGGCTTGCCCTGCGGCTGGCCCCCTGAGCCCCCAAACCAAGGCTGCCAGCCTTCTCTTCCAGAGGCTGTGTCCCAAGTCACCCCGAAGGGACCCAGTTGGATTCTGTGGGTGGCTTATCCATCTCCTCTGCCTGGGCTCCCCACTGTACTGCGGGGCTAAGCGGGAGAGGGTGACCCGGTAACAAGTAGTGTCCCCCTAAAAGACGGCTGACAGCTTGGACATTAACCCCAGCGGAAGTGCATCACACACACCTGTAATTCTAGCTACTGGGAGGCCCAGGCAAGAGGATCATAAGTTGGAGTCCTGCCTGGACAACAGATGAAGATTGTTTCTCAAAACACAAAATAAAAAGAAAAGGGCTGGAAGTATAGCTCAGTGAGGGTGCTCACCTAGCATTCAGGAGGCTCTGGGTTCCATCCCCAGGACCACAGTAAATGAATAAGTAAATAAAATGCTAGCCACAAGACACTAAAAGCCATCAACGTACAGCCTGTTCAGCTAATGTTCAACTTGCCTAAAATGCAATACCCTTTCATTAAAACCTGAACTTTTTTGTTTGTTTTTTGCAACAGGGTCTTGCTATGTAGTTCAGGCTAGCCTTGAACAACCTATGTGGCCCAGGCTGGTCTCAAACTCATGGCGATCCTCCTGCCTCAGCCTCCCAAGTGCTAGGATTACAGGCATGTGCCACCATGCCCAGCTAAAACCTGAACATTTAAAAAACATTAAATTACATTTTAATTATAAAATGAATACATGTTTGTATTTAAAAATAGATCAAGGTAGGGCCAGGGATTTAGCTCAGTGGTTTCGCTGCCTACTGTGCAAGCGCAAAGACCCGAGTTCGATCCCTGGTACCAAAAAAACAAAACAAAACAGTGGGAGATATGGTTCAATAAAAAATGAATAGCAAAAAAAGAATCTTTTAAAGAAAATAAAAATAATAAATCAAGCTTTAAAATGTGCTTGGCATGTGCAAGGTTTGGTCCCCAACACCATAGTAAATAAATAAAATTTAGAATGGTAAACAGTTCTCATCTTCCATGATTGTTGCCCAAGGTCAATAGTTTCTTTCAAATCTTTTTTTAGTTTATTTTTACATCTTTTGGTCTCCTATTTCTTTTTGTCTCCTTTGGGATCTTTTTCTTCCTTCCTTTCTTTTTTTGTTTTTGTTTTTGTTTTTGAGACAGGGCCCCACTGTGTGGTTCAGGCTGGCCTTGAACTCACTATGTAGCCTAGGCTGGCCTCAAACTCATAGCGATCCTCCTGCCTCAGCCTCCCGAATGCTGGAACCACAGGCATGCACCACCACACCTAGCTTCCTTTTGGGTCTTTAAGGAAGGAGTTTTTAAATAGCTTGTCCCAAACCACGTCTGACTGAATTGTGTTTCCACACAGAAGAGCTCCAGAGTAGGTTCTGGCCCAGTTGATTCTGTGATCTCTGACATTGTCAGGGACTTAGATGGCTTCCGTCTTCTACTTCAGTCATCTGAGGGCTGGCTTTGTCTTCCAGCCTTATTGTCAAAATGGTTTGAGACATTATCACCCCAAAATCATTACAATTCCAGAAAATAAGGAAAAGACATGTGAATGAATGAAAAGTTACTCTAGAGAAGGCTGAATTGTTAGGCCTATTGGCAGTGGCCCAAACTGACTTCTGGTGAGGTTTTTAAAACTGGTTTCCTTGCTGCACTTGGGCAGCATGTAATGGCCATGTCCACTGTGGGGAGTGGCTCCAGGGGACCGCACACAGTGTGACACCAATCCTCCGCTTTTGTCCCTTTTGGTGTGACAACTGTCTTTGCGTCCACCGTCCACCGTGTGTCCACCCTCAGGCCCTTGAGTGTTTGTGTCCGGGGATCCTCGGGAGGCTCTGGCTTGGAGGCTGCAGCCAGGGCTGGGGGCGCGGAGACGGTGACAGAACTCACTCTGCTCCACAGGAACCTTCTTCACCCACGCGGCCCTGCACAGCCTCCGCCTGTCCCCCTTCACCGACGCCTGGCGGCCCTTTGTGTTGGCAGCTGAGCTCCTGTACTTCGCCTTCCTCCTCTACTACATGGTAGTGCAGGTGAGCAGGTGGGGCGTGGGGTGGGCACCCCGCTCCTCTCCCTCCTGTTTCCGGGGCGCAGCTGAAGGAGAGAAGAACGGTTCTCCCTTCGGAGTTGGCCGCTGGAACCCTGTGGTCCTTGTGCAGGTCCTGAGGGCTGAGCAGGCCTCAAAGCTGAAAGGACTGAAAGGTCGGTGCTTCTTGGGCACCTGAACCCTGGAGATACCTTGCGGGGGGCGGTGGTCCTGCGGCTGCTGAACTGAGACCTTCTAAAAAGCTGGGGTGTCAACATGGCGCCTGGCTCCTACAAGCTCTTGAAAAGGAGGGTGGTATTTCTGGTGCTTACAGCACTGCTGGCACTGTGCTGAGAACCTTATGTGAGTTTCTGGGTTTTTTTTCTTAAATTCTTTCATTGGTACATTTTAGGTCTACAATACGTTTGCCTTTATCACTGGGTGCTTGTACCCGTACATGATGTATCTTGGTTCTTATTTTTTCCCCATTCCCTGTGCGCCCTTCACCCCCTCCACCCTTCCCTATTACATAGACTTTGTTTCCTTTTTTTTTTCTTTTCTCATAATTTTTCCTTTCCCTTCTTTCCTTCCCCCCTTATGTGAGTTTCCTCCTTTCAAAGCAGTAGGAGAAAGGTGGGCGTGGTGGTGCCTGCTTGTTAGCCCAGCACTGGGGAGGCTGGGGCAGGAGGACTGCTGCGAGTTCGAGGCCAGCCTGACAAGACCTGGTCTTAAAAAAAACAAAACAAAAGGAACAAAAATTATTCAAGTAGCCGGGATCTAACTCAGGGATGCCATGCCTGGCTGGCAAGGGCAAGGTCCTGAGTCTGATTCCTGATACCAGAAAAAAAAATTATTAAAGTAAAACTTCTGAAAAGTGAAGGGATAGGGGATAATTTTCCTTGTTTACTTTGCCTCAGGAAATTAAGCATTTTTTTTTTTGTATTAGAAATTTTATTCTTTTTGTTTGGAAACAAAGTCTGGCCATGTAGTTCGGGCAGGACTTGAACTCACTTTGTAGCCCAGGGTGGCCTCAAACTTACAGTGCTCCTTCTGCCTCAGCCTCCCCAGTGCTGGGATTACAAGTGGGTGTCACCTCGCCGGCTGAAATTGTATTTATTTTTACAAGTCCTGCACCCGGGTCTGCAGGGAGGGAGCAGGGCCCCAGAGCCCATGGGGTCTGAGCCCGGCCACTGGTGGGCACTTTCGGCCACAGGCCTGGGCAGAACCTCGGCTCCTTCCTTCCCAGGGCCAGCGCGTGCGGCAGCAGAAATGCGGCTATTTCTGCAGCAAGTGGAACCTGCTGGAACTGGCCATCATCCCGGCCAGCTGGAGCGCCCAGGCCGTGTTTGTGAAGAGGGCCGTCCTGGCGGAGCGCGACCTCCAGCGCTACCGGAAACACAGGGAAGCTTAAATCGACCTTGTCCCCTGTCCCCCGCCCTCCGCCGGCCCCGCCCTCCGTCCTGTGTGCTCTGGAAATCGCGCTGACCCTCAGCAGACCAAGGGTCCCAAGCTGACGCGGCGCCTGAGCGCATGGGGCTGGAGGGGACGCGGGCCCTGCGCGGGGCGGAAGCCTGGCCGGAGCCTCCAGACCAGCGCTCTGCCACTAGCTCCGACCCAGCCCTTTTACGTATTATTTTGAAACAGGGTCTTGCTCAACTTGCCTCCCAGAATAAAGCCCGACACTCTTAAGGGAAGACCACAAAATTTAGCTACACAGTAGCTGGAAGTTTATAACATCCTGTATTGAATTACGAGGTTACAGCCAGGGATTTAGCTAAGTGGTGCCGCCTCTTGCCTTGCAGGCAGAAGGACCTGAGTTCGATCACCAGTACAAAAAAACAAAAACAAAAACTAGAAGCAAAGTCCCGAGTTCGATACCCGGTACCAAATTAAGAGGTTACTACTGAGGTTCTCGAACAGGAAAATGGGGCTAATAACCAGGAGCAAAATTTGTCAGAAATCTAATAGAGGTGAAGAAGTTAACCAGTCAGGACACTACAGGGCCTGTTATATTATGCTCAAGTATTTAAAGGAAAATGTAAACCTCATGAGATGTGGAAGGCATTTTTTTTTTATTTGCATTTTTTGGGGGGGGAAGACTTTTTTAAAAAAATGGAACTGGTATCTGAAAAATATGTACTGCATGGATTAACAGATTAGACAATATGGAGATTGAGGATAAGTCAATTTGAAGACACAGTAACAGAAAATTCCCCAAATAAAAGGTTATGGTCTATATCTAAAAAATAAAATAAAACAGCGTCTTGCTAAGTTGCCCAAGCTGGCCTTGAACTTGAGATTCTTCTGCCTCAGCCTCCTGAGTAGCTAGGATTACAGATATTTACCACTGCATTTGGCCTGGAGAAGACCTTAAAACAAAATATAGCAATATCTGATGTTTGCAGCCAGGTATGGCCGTGCATGCCTGTAAGCCCAGTAATGGGGAGGCCAAGGCAGGAGGATTGACACAAGTTCGAGGCCAGCCTGAACTGCATAGTGAGACCCTGATGCAACAAAACAAAACAAACAATATCTGATGTTTGCCAATGGCACCCAGCGTAGGTCCCTCCCAGCCCTGGGGACAGCTTTCAAAAGCATGAGTGCCCAGAAAGCCCAGCTCTGCTACCATTTCTCAAGCATCCACGAGGTGCCAGGCAGGGTGTGTCAGCACACAGAGGACAATGTCTTCCATGTTCGGTGACCGATGGTGTGAGCGGTGAGGTGGTACATGTCCGTACTCCCGGCTACTTGGGGGACTGAGGCAGGGAGACAGCAAGTTGGCAGCCAGCTAGACAACTTAGAGAGACCTCGTCTCAAAATAAGACATAACGAGGGCTGGGAACATAGCTCAATGGCACAGCGCTTGCCTAACATTCGTAAGGCTCTAGGCTCAATCTTCAGGACTGCAGAGGGAAAAAGTTGGGTATGGTGGTGCCTGGCTATCGTCCTAGCACTCGGGAGGCTGAGGCAGGAGGATTGCTAATTGGAGTCTAGCCTGGGCAACTTAGCAAGTCCCTGTCTCAAAAGAAATTAAAAAAAAAAAAAAAAGGCTGAGATACAGCTCAGTGCACAGGCGCTGGTTTAATCATCCATGACAAAAAAAAAAAAAGCAAAACTAACGAAAGTAGATGTCATCACTGTCATCACTTCTACTGAAGAAACTGAGGCTCAGGAAGATTGTGAGACTTCTCCTAAGCCACACAGCCAAATGTGGCAGAGAGGTCATTTAAATCTAGACGGTGTAGCTGCAGGATCCATGACTCACTTTGATCACTGTGTTCTCTCGCTTCTTATAGTGATATCTTACATTTATTGAGTTATCACCCGATGTAATAAATTGTCACACATCCAGGGGGCTTAAACCCAGGCCCTCATGCATGCTAGGCAAGCGCTCTACCACTGAGCTACATCCCTAGCCTTCAAACCCCACTTTAAGAGCACATTCTCATCTACTTTAATCTTTATCATCATCGTTTTCTTTCTTTTTATTTTACAAAGAAGGAACTCACTGGTTAAGTTGCTTGTGCAAAGTTGCAGCAAGGACATGCGTGACTCAGAATCTGAACTCTTCCTGCTCCACTCTAACTCCGTCTCATTCATGCAACAAACTACCCAATGTTGCCACAGTAAACATGTGACAAAACCTCCCCCCTCCAAACACCCCCTTCAATAGAAATGTCTCAGTATCACTAACATTCTTTGAGTTCAGAAATGACTTAAGCTTGCTGGGTATGGGGGCACATGTCTCGAGTGGCTGAAGCAGAAGGATAACCACAAGTTCGAGACTAGAATGGGCTATGTAATGAGTTCATGGCCAGCCTGTACTACATAGCAAGACCCTGTCTAAAAAATAAAACTAAGGGCCAGGGATTTAGCTCAGTGGTGCTGCTCCCTGCCTTGCAAGCACAAGGACCCAAGTTCAATCCCCAGTACCAAAAAAGAAAGAAAAAAGAAATGACCTAAGCTCACTGTGAACTTAGGCAAAGAAGTTATTTCAAAAACCTAAAGGTGCTTTACCTCCGGAAGGGATCATCAAAGGATGAAGACCAGCGGGAACAAATGCAGCCCTCGCTGTTTTTGTTAATAAAGTTTTATTGCAACTCTGTCACAGCCATTTGTTCACACACTGTCTATGGCTGTCTTCCCTCTACAATGGCAGTGTGGAGTCACTGTGACGAAAACTCTCTGGCCCTTTCCAGTAGTTTGTCAATCACTGCCTGGTGACCAAAGGCTGAGTTCTAGGAAGCAGCTATGGTGAGTCTGCTGGAGGTGACACATGAGGGGATCACGGGCCATGCCGTTTGGGCCATCCCTACTCCCCACACTGGCCATGTTACTGGAGTTCTCGGGCAAAAGCCCCAGCTCCAGGGATCCTACCAGGCCTGGTCCCCAACACATCCCAGAAAGTCAGTCAAGGAGCCGGGCAGTGGGGAAGGACAGGAGAGGAGCTTTAATCTGTTCTGGGAAGCACAGAGAAAGAGGTTCAAGATCTGTCTTTGAGGAGCTTGCAGAAGCTTTCGGATTTTATAGAAAAGGGAAACAAAGGCAAAGGTGGGACATTTGCATCGCCAGCAGCTACATAGTGAGATCATGTTTCAGAAAAAAAAAGCCCCAACACAGAGGTTCCTGAAGTGATTAATATGCACACTTGCAGAGCTGAGCAGGGATTAGGCTGTATCCAAGTGCAGTCACCCATTAGGCATCTGCAGGCCCAGCCTCTGAGTCCTTGTCCAGCCATGCTTTAATTAGAAAATGTCTGATTCTTTTTTTTGTTGTTGTTACCGGGGATTGAACTTGGGACCTTGCAGTTTCAAGGCAGGCACCAGAAACACTGAGCTAAATCCCCAGCCCTCTTTTTTCTTTTTTGAGACAGGAACTTGCTATGTAGTTCAGGCTGGCTTTGAATTCGAAGCAGTCCTCTTGCCTCAGCCTCCTGAGTGCTGGGATTATAGGCGTGGGCCACCATGCCTGGCCATGTTTGATTCTTGATATGCACACAGCCTGGTTTCTTATTTACAAGGGTGAGAAAGTTCTCATTTTATTATCAAATGTAATGAATTCACATCTTGATGGATGCACAAGCCGGTGATAAAAGAGTAGAGAAAGACTTATTATCTGCAGCAGGATAGGTGAGCACTGGGGTTATTTGCAAAATGATGCTCTCCGTGAACAAAGGAAGGTGGGGATTTTAGACAGGGAATATATCCATATTCATATAGGAAAGCATGTTGGACACAGGCACATTTCTAACATGCACAGTTTAATTTCATAGATCACATGTTCAGAAAGGAACACATTTCTGAGCATGCTTACTTAGTTCAGTATTACAATGAGCCAGGTTCACTCTAAGTTGCTGAGGGCAACCAGACTTGGTGACCCTGTCTGGATCCTCCGAAGTGTTTCCAGAGTTTTAGCTGAAACAAACAGGAAGAACAATGTTTTTTTCTGGTTTTGTGGTACCGGGAACCGAACTCAGGGCCTTGCACTTCTCAGGCAGGCCCTGTGCCACTGAGCCTCATTCCCAGCCCAGAAAGAACAATGTTGAATCTTTTAAAGAGGCAGAAACTTTCTCCCCCATAAATGTAACTTTCCCCTAAAGGTGTCTGCTTTGTTTAATGACTAACATTTTTACACTGAATAACAGAAAACAAAAGAAATCTTGCCAGGTTTAACAAAAACCTGAGAACAGATTGAATTCTTTTTGTTCACTTCCTTCCTTCCACCCTTTTTTTTGGTGTGTGTGTGTGGTTCTTGGGATGGAACCCTTAAACAAAGGACACTACCCATGCTAGGCAAGGGCTTCACCACTGAGATGCATCCCCAGCTGACCCAAGTACAGTGAAGCCTGAAGCTTAACTTCAAACCCTCAGTTGAATCTGATTAATCAACTAACCAAAGCTTGGTGTTTATTTCAGACACTTGTAAATTTTGTTCTATTGTTAAATACATGTTTTTACAGCTAGGTCCTGAAACTTTTTTCTCTTCTCTCTCTTCTCTTCTCTTCTCTCTCTGTCTCTCTCTCTCTCCATTTTTTTCTTCTCAAATATATATATATATATAACATTTATTATATTACACATCATTGTACCATACAACTTTTTTTGTTTGTTTGTTTTTTGAGATAAGGTCTCAAACCATAGTTCAGGCTGGCCTTGAACTCATTATATAGTCCAGGCTGGCCTTGAACTCCCAATCCTCCTGCCTCAGCCTCCTAAACATTGGGATTACAGGCCTGCACCACCACACCTGGCTCATATAACATTGTTCTATAATTTTTTTTCTTCATGTCAATAGACATAGGTCTGTCATTTTTAATATCACTTTAATATTAAAACTGTATTGCTGGGCGTGGTGGCACACGCGCCTGTAATCCTAGCACTTGGGAGGCTGAGGAGAATCGCTGAGAGTTTAAAGCCAGCCTGGGCTACACAGGGACACCTTATCTCACCCCCCCCACCAAGACTGTATTTAAAATGTACCACTCTTGCCTTGCAAGTGCAAGGTCCTGAATTCGACCTCCATTATCAAAAAAAAAAAACCAACTTAATACTTGCCTAGCATTCGCAAGGCCCTAGGTTCAATTCCCAGTACTGCCAAAGGAGGGGAGGCATTAAAAAATGTAGCTGTAACTGGTAGCTAGTGCTTGAGTCAACAGAAAAATAAAGCAAATTTAAAATAAAATAAAACAAAAAGTCTGGGCACAGTGGCACACACCCGTAATCCCAGCTACTGGGAGGCTGAGGAGGGAGAATTTCACACTGGAAGCTAGGCTGAGCAAGGGAGCAAGGACGCGTCTAAAACAAACAAACAACAAAAATCTAAGATCTCACAAAGACCCGAGAGGAGAATGAAGGGCCAGGTGTGATGCTGGGCAAGAATGTGGACTTTGAAGTCAGACACACTCGAATTCCTACTCATACTTCCACCTCAACTCAGTAAATATGGCATCAGTTCTGTGCCTTTGTGCTGACTCTGTCCCTGTCTGTAAATGGAGATAAGAGGCTGGCTTCATCTTGAAGGTCAAGTGAGACAAAGCAAATGAGCGGCTGAGTGGTGACCACGCCTGTAATCCAGAAGAAGGATTTCTGGGAGCTCAAGGTCAGCCTGGACTACATAGTGAGACCCTGTCTCAGAAGAAGAACAACAAACAAAGCCAAAACAAATGACTCTCTCACTTAGTACAACACATGGGCAATGCTTCTGTTCTTCCTTCAAGCATGAGGGCTGCCATGGACACACGCTCATTGAGCAGGAGCAGGGGTCTGGTGACCGCAGAGCAGGGAGAGGAAGTGCACAGGCATCTTTCCCTCCATCCTGTCGCGCCTGACAGGATTCCCCTTCGCCTTTCTTCCAGAGCTCCCCAGCCATCAATCAAGACCCACAAATGACTGCATCGTCATCTTCATCACCACTACCACCATCCTCAACATCACTATCACCAAGACAACCACCATCCTCCCAACCTCATCTCTCTCATCTCTCCTCACACCATCACCACTAGCCAGCGTTACTGTTATGCTCATTCCCATCACCATCACCGAACTGGAGGACGGGGACCAGCTTGTTTCCCAGAGCTCTTTCTGGACTCGATGGGCTCTCAGTCATGCCAAGTCTCACCCTGCACCCTGAGAGGGTGATAAATCTAACCCTGCACCCAGATGGACTGCAGCTGCGCTGCTCATGGTCCCTGATCTACCCTTCTGCTGCTGCACTGCCCAGCAGCAGAAGCCCTTGGAGACATCATTGCCTTCCTGATCCTCCCATCCACAGGGAAGCTTTGGCATCTGCTTAGGTTAAACCCCAAAATGAACCTGATCACATCAGCCCTACACCACGCCTGGGGTGACATTTCGGGCTTCATCATCGTCATCCTTGTCATGCTCCTGCCTTATTCCATCGCAGTGAGTGGCCCCTCTGGGAACCCCAGGGCTGCTGTCCATGGGAGTCAAGGGTATTTGTGGACAGTCAGGGTGAGGGAGGCTCTGGGAGCCTTAGACAGGTGGGGATCTTCCGAGTCTGGGTCCTTTGGCGGGGAGCTCGTGAACTGGCCTCCTCAAATGGCAAGGAGTAGAGGCCTCAGTCGAGCAGGAGGAGGAGGCACAGGTTGTGGGACAGAAAGAGCCCAGCTGCCTCATGGAGGACCCCCTGCTTCAGGTGTCACTTCGCCAACATCCCACCTATTGGAAGGCACAGGGCCACTTCCTAGTGTGGGACTGTGTGATTCAAAAGTTAATTACTCCCCTAGATTCTGTTGTAAATTTGATGGTTGGAGTGTGTTTGCCTCGGGACAATGGACAATCAGTAATAGGGCAAGGTTACTCAGCCATCTGTTTGCCCTAAATCCAAATGTCCTGGGGCCCAGTACCTATAGGACAACCTGTAAACAGGGTGGTCGTGTAACTGTCAGTCAGGATGTCTGCTGAACATCAGCATGTGACAATGAGCCACTAACCTTTGTTCTTTTTTTTTCTGTGAATCCACATGTTAACCCCCCCCCCCTTAACCCCCTGTAAAACAACCTCGGACTCTGAGCCAGGTGCCTCTCTGAGCTATTTTGCTTCGGGAGTGCCGTCTGGCCAGACTAATAAAGGTCTGTTTCCCAACATGGCCGGTGTGTTCCTTCCCGGGTGTGCTCCACTCCAGCTCCTCGGAGCGTTTGGTAAGGCCCTCGGTCTTACACTAGACAGGCGCAGGACTCTCTGTGCTGGTGGATGAGCTGGGTCCCCGAGCTCTGGAGCTGGGGCAGAGATGGGAGTAGAGGGGATGTCCCCAGGCTGCAGCAGCACTCGGCACCCTAGACACAGGCATCAACTTAACCGGACCAAAGCCGTTCCAGTCAGCGCTTAACAAGGACAGCACTTTGACAATCTCTCTCTTTTGTGACTGGAAAAACCCCTGATACATTAAACACTCAACTTTTTCTTATTATCAAGTGGGGAGAGAAACAAAGACCCTCTCCTGACCCCTGCCACATCCTGGTCTCCACCCAGATACGTACTCCAACCCCGGAAGTCCAGGACTCCCCTCGTGGCTCTGGCCCCACTCAGCTTTGACCCTTCAGCCCCATCTTGACCCGCTCTTCCACGAGACCCCTTCTCCTTCGCACCTGGCCCCTGAGTCTCTACCTCCTGCCTTCGCCATCACCTCCACCAGCAGCCCATTGTGCCCGGGCCCCTGTGCACCGCCCCTCACCCACCGGGCACTCCAGAGCGCACAACGCACACACAGCGCAGGTGTGCAGCACCACACACACCTCTCACCGGCACACATGTGGTCTGCACGCAAGGGCCCACGGGAGGAACACACACACCCGATGTACACACTTCCGTGTGGGCCAGGCCAACGCAGGGCGGGCATAGGCCACTGTGTCAAGCAGCAGGATGGGCGGGGGGCCCTCAGCTTTCTTTTCCTGTTCATGAGGACTCTTTCCATGACAGTCAAACTTGATGTTTGGTTGGAAACTCCATTCCTACAAAACCCTCTTTGATGCAGTGGAAACGATGATCGCCTTCAGCTAGGAATCTTCAACTATGAGGAGGTGGGGGGGGGGCACTGCAATTGACACAAGTCCTTGTGAAAATTAGAAAAATCACTGGGTATAGTGGTGCGTGCCTATAATCCCAGCACTCAGAAGGCTGAGGCAGGAAGATCACCTCAAGTTCGAGGCCAGACTGGGCTACACAGTGACTTCAAGGCCACCCTGAACTACATAATGTCCCACCCCCCTCCACAAATACAAACAAAAACAAAAATTAGAAAAATTACTTCCTGCTCACCCATTCCCGTCATCCTTTGGGCTCAGGGCCTGGCAAACACAAAGCAGCTTTGAAAAAATAAAATGTCTCTCCCGTCCCGTCCCGCAGGCAGGCTGCGCAGGAGACCAATGCACACAGAAGAGCTCCAGGGGCTGGCGACTTGGGAGGGCTGGGCGGGTGATCTCAACGGGGACATTCCCAGCCCCAGCCAGAGATGGCGCTGTCTTCGGAGGAGGCGGTGGCGGGCAAGGGTGCAGCCCACTCCCTCCCCAGGTAGAGGGAACTCCCGGCTCCCGGCTCCGCCCAGCTCCCAGGACCACGCCCCCCTCTGAAGGTGGGGGCGGGGTGTCCGTTAAGACCCAAGACCCCAGGAGTGACGCTGGCTTCTTCCTGGCAGGTCCTGGACTCCAGCCCAGTGCTTGGCTCCTTCCTCATTGGGTCGTGCGTCATTTTTATGACGTTTGTGGTTCTGAATCTGTTTATCTCTGTCATCCTGGTGGCCTTCAGCGAGGAGCAGAAACGTGCTCAGGTGAGTTCCTTCGGCCTGTTCTTCACGCACCATTGCCTTGGATGATGAAAAGGTGGGCTGAGCAGTGCGAGGCTTAGGGGACTTGAAAGGCCATTGTAGCTCAAAGCCCCAGTTTCACAAGAGGCGCAACTGAGGCCCAGGAAAATATTTCCCCAAGGTCACAAGAAGATGAAGGGTGTGATGGTGCACACCTGTAAACTCAGCACTCTGGGAGGCTGAGGCAGAAGGATCCCAACCAAGTTCAAGGCCAGACTGGGAAACTCAGCCAAGGCCCTGCTCAAAATAAAAGATAAGTAGGGCAGAAGATGTAGCTCAGGGTAGAGCACTTGCCTAAAACGCACAGCATCCTGGGTCCCTGTCCCATGTATCACAAACAACACAACACACCACAATGGCCAGACATCCCAGGTGTCTCCCACTGTCCTCTCCCCATGAGGCAGTGTGGGCTAAAACTTCCTTCCTCTACCCCCAGGTTTTTCCAGCAGAGGCCCTAATCTGGAGCTATCCAGGGGCCCCGCTCCAAACCCCTTAGTGTAAACTCAGGTGTGGGCAGAAAGGCTCATCATGCAATAGGGAAGACACTCCCAGTGCTCCAGAGGTGCCAGGGGTTCAGCAGCTCTGTGAGAGGAATGGGGACGAAGGCCCAGCATATGCCACCTCACACCAGAGTGCTCTTGCCCTGCACAGATGTGATAGATTGAAGCTTTAGGAAACGTTTTCACTGTAGCAGGGAAGCGAGGTCCTTGGCAGGTCAGACACGGAGGCAGTCAGACTGTACCTTGTTCTGGAGGTGGGAGCGCAGGCATAAGACTCCTTCAAAAGGAGCCATTTTCTCAGAGTGGAGTCCCTAAAGCTCAGCAGACTAAACCCATGCTTTGTGGATACATTCTCTTTTTAAAAAAAGAAAATATAACTCATATGTCATAAACTCCACCATCTTTTTATATATATTTTTTTGCCTACTGGGAATCAAACTCAGGACCTTCACTTGCCAGGTAGGCACTGTTGCCACTGAGCTCCATCCCCAGCCCACAGTGCACTATCTTGAAGTGTACAATTTTTAAAAATATTCAGAGTCATGCATCCATCGCTATTATCTAATTACTAACTCCAGAACATTTCCTTTTTTTTTGGTACTGGGGATCAAACTCAGGACCTTGTGCTTTTGAGGCAGCTGCCGAAACCACTGAGTTAAATCCCTGACCCCCCTTGAGGTATTGGGGTTGAACTCAGAGCCTTCACACTGAGCTACATCCCCAAACCCTTCTTTATTTTTTACTTTGAGACAGGGTCTTGCTAAGTTGCCCCAGCTGGTCTCAAACTTGTGACCCTCCTGCCTCAGCCTCCCAGAGTTGAGACAGGCCTGCGCTGGGACAGTTGAGACAGGCTGGGATTTTAAATGTTGCCAGGCAAACTCAAGCACGCTTGGCAGAGAGGAAGAGGGAGCCCACACCCCCAGGAGCCCCAGAAAGAGGTCATCCCAACCTCAGAGTTACCTAAATGGTGACCTGACCCAGGCACAAGTAGGATTACACCTCCTTGGTTCCCCTCAGAAATAAAGCCCCAAGAGAACCGTTCTGGGCACATGACTTGGTCTTTTCTGTCTTGCAGCTGTCAGAGGAAGCAGAAATTGTGGATTTGCTCCTGATGAAAATACTCAGTTTCCTGGGCATCCAGTGCAAAAGAGAGGTGCCTCAGAGTGGCCCTGAGCAGCCCTTGTTGCCCTTCACAGCTCGGTGCCCTGGGCCAGCACAAGCTTCACCTGGGATTTAAGCTGCTCACCCACTGGATCAGCTGGGGCTGTGCTTCCCAGGGAGGCGGGCGCCCCTCCGGGAATCAGGCTTTGTGTCTGTGGATGAATCACTAAGCCCAGCAAATAGAAAAGTAAGGACACATGCATCCTAAAATTGGCACTGCCTTGAAAGCCTGTTTGTGCACATGTTTCCTCCTACAAATAAAAAAAAAATGATATGGAAAGTAAGTCTTCTCTAATTGCATCTCTAGTTGGTCAAGGGTTGCCTTTGGATGATTCTAGTTCAGGGCTTCTCTGAAACAAGTGAATGGGTGTCATATTAAAGTCCTAGGCTATTGGGAGAAATTGGGTGGTTTAAAACTGAAGGACCCTAGTTAGCAAAACAGACTCCATATTGCTGCTGAACGACCCACCTGCCTGCTCTTTAGATGAACTTAGAAGGAGGAAGCTTAGAAACCTCCCCTTAGAAAGTCTCTTTAGAAATAACAGTTAATCAACTATTGTTTTACAGATGTTCTAATGGCAGGACATTCCGCTTCTGTACCTTTCGCTTGCTTTGCTAGTTCTATCCCATAGAGGGGCCTAGAAACTGCTGGCCTCAACGGTGTATAAAACATGTTTGTCTCCCCCCAGTCGGGGCTCGAGTCCGATGCTCGCCTCTGTCCCCGCCGGTAATAAACTCCTGTGTGGATTTAATATCGGTCCCTGGTTTGTTCTCTCTCGCTGGGTGTAACAAAAACAACAGACAGCCAGGCCTGGTGGCGCACACTTGTGATCCCAGCCCTTGGGAGGCTGAGGCAGGAGCATCCCCATAAGTTTGAGACCAGCCTAAAAACCCAGAAGGTAAATGTTTCACAGTTCTGGAGACCAGAGTCTGAAATCCAGGCGCTGGCAGGGCCACCGTTCCAGGCCCTGCTGCAGTAGAAGGAAGAATCGGGCCTCTTTCAGCTTCTGGTGTTTCCCGAAGGACCCGGGGACTCCTCCTCTTACAGATCAACCTCTTTGGCTCCAGGACCGTTTCCTTTTCTTGGAAGACAATTCACCATGGACAGCGCTGGGGTGGGGGTGAGGAGGTGTGGTTTCGGGGTGACTGAGCGGACAGCGTGATCCTCGCATGCGCAGTTCACAGCAGGGCTTCTGCCGCTGAGATTTACTGTCCCTGCTCACCTGACCCGAGGCGGTTCTGGGGAGCAACTGTGAAACAGATGCAGCTTCCTTTGCTTGCCTGCCGCCCGCCCGCTATGCAGCTCGGTTCCTGACAGGCCATAGGAGGGAGGAGCACGAAGTAAGGATAGATAAAAAGGAGACGAGGGAAATCACAATTTTTAAAAGTGAAAACTGCAGCTTCAGGACACAAGCCCAGTTTCCTAAACAATTTGTTCTTTCCTTTCTCTTCTCTCAACACAGTAAGCCTGAGGAGGAATTAATTCCCTTTTACCTGCAGCTGCCTCTGGCCATTCCCTTTCTCCTTGCACAAGGTCCTCTTCCTCGAGGAACAGGGTTCCTTCTCACCTGCCTGTCTGCACGGACCTTTACCTTCTGTGGTGCGCCCCTCCTCCCTCCAAGCCAAGACCAAGACTATAGATGACAAATTCCACAGACTGTCGCTGCCCAAAACACACCAGTAGTCCCAGGCCCAAGCTGCAGCGTCTCATCTCTCTGAATGCCCGCACTCTGCTCCTAAGTGTGTACTTAAATTTCTGCCTAATAAACTCTTCCCAGGCCTCTGACTCATCCGGAAAGCTCTTTTTCCACGGCGGGAGCCAGAAAACCTGTAAATCTACTCTACGGGTAGGGTGGTTTAGGTTCCTTATGTCGGCTTCAGAAACCTCCTCCAGCCCTGCGAGGGACACACCGGCTGGGTGGAGTTCTAGTCAGCTAAGTTAGAAATAGGCAGTCAGAGAGGGGTGGGCCCTCCAGGGAACCAGCACAGAAGCTGAGACACACCAGGACCCGAGGCGGATCTGAAGAGGGTGAGGCCTCAAGATGGGGCTGCAACCGCCAGGCCCCAGCCTCCCCAGAGATGAACAGCAGCCTGCGACTGTACTGTCCTTCCCACCACCTGGTCCAGTGGGCCCAGGTAGGCATCACACGCACAGGTGGACAGGTGAGTGACCAGAACATCTGGACACACAGTCGCATCCCCTAGGTCTTTGAACAGCTCCTGAATCATCCCTGGAGGTGGGCTCCTGCTAGCCTTCCAGCTGGATGAGACCTTAAAAGTCTTATGGACTAGGGGTGTAGTTCAGAGGTAGTGAGCGTGCCTAGAATGTACGAGGCCCTAGGTTTGATCCCCAGCATGTCAATCAAAACAAAAACAAAAACAAAAACAAGATTTCTTATGGGATCTGAATCAAGAGCCCACCTTACTATCCTGACAGTCAAAATCCACAGACCCGTGGGGCTGGATGGCACATGCCTGTAATCCCAGCACTTGGGAGGCTGAGGCGGGAGATTGTTGCAAGTTTGAGACTAGCCTGGGCAACATAGTGAGTTCAAGGCCATCTAGAATACAGAGTGAGACCTCGTGTCAAACAAGTAGACATCCACAGATCCGCGAGCCCAGGATCCTCCTTTATAAACAGAGAGCCATGTAACCTGTAGTATAAATAGAACCTTGGGAAACTTCAGTTTCAAATAGGGAAAGTTCTAATATCTGGAGAAGTTGTTAATTCTTCACCTCTCCCTCTCCTCTTGCTCATTACTCTCCCCTTCTGTCTTGACTGTAGGTGTCAAAAGGGCACTTCTGTCAGTTATTTTTTGTTTGTCTTTGTTTTGTCTGAAACAAAGTCTCCCTATGCAGCCAAGGCTACTCTCAAATTCCCAGCAATCTTCTGCCTCAACTTCTTGAGGGCTGGATAGTAGATGTGCACCATCCCTGGGTCTTCTATGGTATTTGTTTATTAATACATGCTTGTAGTACATAATGTTTATATTCCTGTGGGGAGTTGGTACATGTACATAACACATCTTAATTCCTTTTTTTAGATCTCTTTTTCCTTGCCTCCCTGCCCCTCCCTCCACTTTCTATTATCTATCTTTTATTTTGCTCTTTATTTAAACTTTGGGTTTCTCATACAAGAAAAACCATGTGATATTTAAGCTCATGGGTGATTTACTTCACTTAACATTATGGTCTCAAGATGTATCCATTTTCCTACACACGACTCAAGTTTATCTTTCTTATCTTTTTTTTTTTTTAGTACCGGGGATCGAACTCAGGTCCTTGCACTTGTGCAGCAGGCGGTGAAACCACTGAGCTAAATCCCCGGCCCCAAGTTTATCTTTGTTTATGACAGAATAGTACCCTTCTGTTATATTGAGAGGAAAGGATGTCTATCAGCTCAAAAAAGATGAGTGGGCCAGGGATTTAGCTCAGTGGTTCGGCCACCTACCTCAAAAGTGCAAGGTCCCACGGGGCCGGGGATTTAGCTTAGTGGTTTCGCCACCTGCTTCGCAAGCACAAGGACCCAAGGACCCGAGTTTGATCCCTGGTACCAAAAAAAAAAAATTAATGGGCCCTGCTTCAGACACCCAAAGAAATGACCACCTGCAGTTCTCAGGTGCCTGTACCAAATGTACAGTGGCATGACCTTTGAAATATCAAACCATGGATGTTACAAAGATTACCAGGCTGAAAAAGAAAAAAAAAGAGATTTTTTTACTGTACTCAGTGTTTGTTACAAAAAAACACGTCACATAGTGAGTTCAAGGTCAGCCTCAACTACATACCGAGAACCTGTTTCAAAAGAACAAAAACACAAAGAGCAAAAGACACGTTATCCTTGCTGTTTGGTGGAAGGGCCTGTAACATCACCCACACACTGATTCGTGATTTTATTCTTCCCACCAAATGAGCTAGTGCAGCCAACGTAGGTGCTTCAGGGCATTTGTCACCAGCTTGTGAGAAGACAGTGACACCGACAGAATGCTGACCTTATGAACGGCGCCAAGGTCTGGAGTGTGCAGCAGATCAGCGTGTGCCAGCAGGCACCCCGACCCGGGCGGGCAGCACAGCAAGCCTTCCTGCCACCTGCTGGCTACTCACGCTGTAAAATGCCTCCCCCTGCCCTCCTGGGTTAACGACTCCACCTTTCCAGTCTAGGAGGCCCGGGAGTGTCAGCTGCCAGAAAGGGGCTGGGAGCGGATTAAAAAGTCAGTGTTTGCACAGAGGCAAGGTCACAGCAAGGACTCCAGCCGCGGCGCTACGCACTGACCGGCGCACACGGGTCAGGGGCAGCTGGGCAACCTCTGGGCTCCCTGGGGGCCGAGGGCGCCTGGCTGAAGGCGGTTTTTACTCTAGTGATTTTTTGCTGCACGAATCTGTGGGGAAGGTGAGGTCTTCCCCGAACTGAATTCCCTCCTGGAATCCTGCATCTGGACAATGACTTGGGCTTTCTGGGAAGGCCCTGGTCTCAGGCAGGCGACTAAGCAAGGAAATGTCCACTCTGCCTCTCCACCTTCTGCCTCTTGGACATCCCCGCAGGAACCACTGTTCTGGTCCAGGGCGCACTGGGAAACTGCTCCAGACCCTGGAGCAAGTCCTGTCCCTCTGCACCTCTTGATTCCGTCTGTCCTATTTGGGGTCTCTCGGAATCTGTGAATACAGTGGGCTCCCGGACCGTTTTCAGTGTTTCAAATGTCAGGGGAACCGAGTGTGTCAGTGTGACTTCGGCCAACGACCACCTGCCATCTTCGGGTGGAAGGAATCCGGCGTGCGTGACCTTGGTGCTGGGCAGAAGGGCGGGATCGCATCCCGTAACAGGACCTCACGGCTCAACTGGCTCGCGAATGGGCGGCCCCAGCAGGGCGGTCCCTGCCCCAGGCTTTCTCACAGCCCTGGACGAGCGGAACTGCTGACTCAGCGTTTTCGCCCCGCCGCCCCGCCCCCGACCCCCAGGAGACCTTCTAGTCCCCACCCCTCGTCCGTCGGCCCCATCCGGGCCTCAGCTCTTGCACAAGTCCACGCCCCTTCGCGCGTCGCCCTTTCCGCGGCCAACCCCCCGCGCATTGCCCAATCAGGTTTCGCTCCCCCAGGGCTCCGCCCCCGCGACCCCGTGCAGCCGGCTCGCTCCGGCCCCGGTGCCCCGCCCCGCTCCGCCCCCGCCGGCCGGGTGGGCTAGGCGCGGCCCAGCGCGGCGACCCTCGGTACCCCTGTGAACATGGCGCTGCGAGTGGCCGGGAGCATGCGCGTCGCGGCCTGCAGCCTGCGTGCAGCCTCGGTGCCC